GCGATCGCACCGCTCTTGGAAAGAGTCATAGTGTCCTCGCGGACATTGACCTTTTCAGAGCCCTAGAAAAGTGCGTTCGGCTCGCTTCCACGCGCCTCCGAGCGTGTTAGCGAGATATCAAATTGCTAGTTACGTCATTCCATACCTCCTCGTCAGGAAGCCCTATCCTTCGGCTCCCGTTAATCTCTATTTCCCATATCTCCATTTTCCAAGAGGTTTTGACGTAACAGCTGTGTAAACATAAATTCATTTAAAATGGATTCTGATGAGGAAAGGTTTTTTATTCTTATCGCGTGCGTGGGAGTATATATTGTGCTTTATCATCAACTTCTGCACCTATACAATATTGAGAGATATCGCGGACGTGGCAGGGGGAGTAGGAGATGGTGGATTCGTCCAGTAAATCGACGAAGAGAACAGCAAGGATTCTACCATAACCTTGTATCAGAAACCCAGCTGACAGACCATGAAGAATTTTTTGCTAACCTTCGAATGTGGCCAGAGCAATTTGAATTTCTACATAACATTGTATGTCCATTGCTTGAAAGGCAGACAACTGTGATGAGACAGCCTCTACCATCGAAACTGAGGCTAGTAATGACATTATTGTAAGTATAGATTATCAAAAATTATAAATTAAAATTATAAATAAGGCTCCAATATGAACAATTATAAATTTAGAAAATTAGAAAACACTGTTAAGCCAACGGCACACGATACTAGTTTTCCTACTAGATTGCTTACGAGAACCAATCAGGATTTAGTCTTAAGTCACCTGATCTAAAACTCTGCAACCTTATTGGTTCTCCTACGCAATCCAGTAGGAAAAATAGTATCGTGTGCCGTTGGCTTAGTCGTTGAGATGATAAACGAGAAGAGGAATTATCCAGGGCCCCGGGGGACTGCCAATCACGCAAAGCGCCCTGGAGTCACCTTAGGAGTTTCATAATGGCAAAAGATTATTGGCTCACATTGCCTATATTTCTTCTCGTTTATCATTTCAACGACTAACATTGTTTTCTAAATTTATAATAAAAAATTATCTTCATGGTCATTATACATATGTAACATCGTATATTCTAAATTATTTTATTATTGTGCTTTCATATGTATGTTCAAATTTTGCGTAATTTTCTTTTTAGGTTTCTTGCTCAAGGTGGAACAATCCAAAGTTTGCATAATAAATTCCGTGTTGGTAAGAGCACAGTAAATCTAATCATTAAAGAGACCTGCAAGGCAATATGGGAGAAGCTGCAGCCTATTTATCTGCCTCGGCTGACTAGGAACGATTTTGAAAAAATTGCTGCAGAATTTTTTGATCTGTGGCAACTTCCTAATTGTATGGGTGCTATTGATGGAAGACATATGCGCATTAAAGCGCCACCTATGTCAGGTAGTGAATTCTACAATTATAAGGGATTTTTTAGTATCGTTGTTTTGGCAGCAGTAGATGCCCATTACAAATTTACTTGGGTGGATATTGGACAGTATGGTAAGTGTGCTTGCTACTATTGGCACTATTAAAAATGTCAAATTTGGATTTGGTTGCAATTGTATCTATACATTGTTTTAGGATCCATAAGTGATGGTAGAGTTTGGTCAAATTCTGACTTTGGACAAGCTTTGGATCATGGCGAAGTTGACCTTCCACTGGACAAACCTCTTCCTGGAACCGACATCCCCTTCCCACACTTCTTTGTGGGTGATGAAGCTTTTCCCTTAAAGAAGTACCTTATGCGCCCCTTTTCTGGAAGGATGCAGCAGGTACTGTCAGCCCGGGAAAAAATTTTCACATATGATCATATATAATCATATATGCTCATATACGAAAAATGTCCACATGTTTGTCATATATACTGTCATATATGACAAACACATTATCATATACGATCATATATGATACATATGGTATCTTATATATGGACATTTTTCGTATATGAGCATATATGATTATACTATATGATCATATGTGAAAATTTTTTCCCGGGAGATGAGCAGCGAATTTATAATTACCGTCTATCTCGAGCACGGCGTGTATCAGAAAATGCTTTCGATATACT